TTAACTGTATTTTACTCATCAGAAGAAACATTCAAGTGTTTGATGAGCAGAAGTGAAACCTCAAAGCTTTGTATTAAAATACAAGTATGACAATATCTCATTAATAATCTTCAGCTCAGACTCTGATTGTCACAGGAAATTAGCTGTGACATGAAAACTATCACCAGATCTACGATCTAATGTCTCTCACATGTCAAACGGAGGAGATAAAGTTTTGAAATGTACGCACCACTCTCTGAGCTTTGGCTTCTGATCTTCTTCCTCCTGTGTGTCTAAAGTCACTGGACCTGTTTGCAGGTGTATCAACTGCGTGGGTCGTTTTACAAAATGAGTTTTTCGATGTGATCTCTTTGCATTTTTAAAAAAACTTAATGATGCATAATGCGATATGTTTATTGCATTACACAAATGTTTCAAGCACCGGTCGGCTCTACGACAGTAATACATTACTGAAATACTTCGAAGCATGTAAAGTCCAGTTCGAACAAAGACAATGTGAACACGTACACGTGAATATTAAAGATGATATTTATTTATTTTATTGAATCTAACGGAGTAATTGTAGATATAATTGTTCTATTTCACACCATCACAACACAGTTTGTTGACAAATGATAGAAGAGGAAAGAAGTGAATCTGATGATATTTAAATTCTCTATTAAAATGACCATTTGACAAAGTCAATACAGACGGATGTGTATTCAAATGAATTGGTTTAAACACATCATGTCATCACATCCAACATGGAGCACTTCAAAATGCTGCAATTCACCTAGGGGGCGGTAGTGAGCTAGTCCTCGATGAATTGAGTTAAACACCTGAAATATTTTTGCATCTTCTGCCTTTTAGAAAAAAAGGCCACATTTTATTTTGATTTTGACAAATGTATATATATTCATAATATCTGAAGGCAAAAGAAACAACAATGTTCTTATTCCTTATAGGGAGCGAGACTTTAGCCATATCACGCTAGCATCCCGCTAATTACTGGTGAGTTAAGGATTTACGACTGATTCGAGGAAAGAGAATGGAGTGAACAACATTCTCTTTAATCAGATGGAAACATTACAATGAACTCTAAAAACAACTGACATTACATAGTTACAGCTGATAGAATAAGCGAGTTACAGTTATCGTTTCTGACTAAATCTCTCTAATGTACGTAAAAAGGTGTAAAATCCGCCACTGTTATCTTTGTAAACTTAATATTTGCCGTTCTAAATTGGAAAACTTCACAGGTGTAGCCTAGCTAAAGCGGACAGGCGTTAAATAGCACACAGTCTACGTGTTATATAATTGGTTGCTGTATTGCGTCTTTCCATGGACCATATATAAAGATGGACGAGGTTTCGCCACTTCATCATATTTTCCGAAAATGAATCCAAAATACCCCGGATATGGACGCTGCCGCCTTGCACAGACGACATCAATTGAAGTCTGTGCAAACTGATTAACTCGGGTAACGCTTGAAACGTCAGTGATCCAGACACAGCTCCTGGAGATTGTAATTAACCCTGTGTGCGCCTCCTGGTGGTTTTGAGGCCCCACACAAGACCCACAAGACTCCTCCTCTCCTCTGTTCTGGAGGAGAACAGACACGTTTTCACGGGTTGTCAAATTGCTCTCGTGACCAAACACACGTCAGACTCACATGAGTGACACAACGTAAACAATTTCTTTGCATTTGCTTTGAAGGCAACATGATAATAATTAATTAAAACCACAGAAACCATCTTTGACATCTTTGTCCTATATGCTAACATGGAGGAGGCGGGGTTTATGGCGTATATGAGACAATTTGGCTTCATTTTTGGGAGCTGTAATGTCGTCCATCTTTATTTACAGTTTGGGACTTTCTGATAATGTTTCCCCCCGTTGTTTAATCTGACCCTCGTCCTGATTCAGAGTTTCGCTGACGACACGATAATTTTCCTTCTCTGTGTAGACAGAGCAGCGGTGCCACCAGACCGCTGGGCAGACAGAACCAGAGCACACTCAACGACAGAGCACAATGTTCAGCCTCCCCCAGCAGTGTAGGGTACAGGGCGGTAGCAAGTATGCTCCCTCCAAACCTCATCACTAGCACTCCCATTATGGCCTCAATGGTATGTAACGCCCTCAGCTTTGATTTGTCGATGTGCTGTCTGCCCCCAACCCTGTCTGCTGGCCCTGGACTATTCAAAATGCAAAGGACAGAAAAGCAGCAGAAAGAAACAACAATAAAGATGAGGCCTGTCACACACAAAATAATGACTGAGGAGCTCTCTGAATTTAGGTACAATAAACTAACCCAGACAACAGCCAGCAGCCAAACACAGCCAATGGAGATATTTTTGATCCTGACCCCGTTCGTCTTCCTCAGGCCCCGATACGTGATGGGGTGGACCACGGCTAGGTAGCGCTCCACACAGGTCAGCATGTGAAAACACATCTGTCCAGGTGATGTGACGGAAAAAATCAGGAGTCCAAGCAGCTCGATCAATGGGGTGTGAGCAAGGATGCCATAGGAAAGCAGGATGGACCCGAGGACGCTCAGCAGCTCCATGACGGCCATGTGGTAGGTGAACAGGTCAGTGTGGCTCATCGTAGCACCGGAGCTCCGTCGCCGCCAACGTTGCCAACCCAGATACAGGACGTAGGTGCTGAGAGGGAGGAAGAGGAGGATGTGGAAGCCACTGAAGGCAAAGATGCAGGAAGATCCGATTGTGGAGATCATGCAGATGTGTATTTGACAGTAGGCGTTGTCGGGGGGGTAGAGGGAAGAGGGAAAGTTTGAGGTGTTACAGGGGGAAGAGAATTCGACCGACATCACTGTGGCCGCGGGGCAAAGGGAAGATGAAGAGAAAAATAAAATCAACAAGTGAAACAGTCAAATTAGGTTAAATTCTGACAAAGATAAACTGCAGATCAAAACATTAAAGCAGCACGATGTAACGTTTACTGAGCAGCAGCGCCCTCTGCAGCCACAGGAGGGGATGAACCTCCTGAACCAGCTGCTCCTGTAACAAATCCACCAAATGCTGAATATTGGAGATAAACTCTGATGAAAATAACGTCTCAGTGTTTTTATCTGATCTACAGTTCAGCTTCAGCTCTCCGTCAGTTCTTCTCACAGGAGATCGAACAGAGAACAGACGCTCAGGCTGAGGAAACATTCTCCTGATCCACAGACACTCAACCATCAAACTTATTTTCATCCAGCCGCCGTTTCAAAGAAGAAAAGTTTCATAGTGTCGCTTTAAAGTTTGATCTGAATCTGGACCTTTTATCTGAAACTGTAGTTGTATGTATTTGTATCTCTCTCTCACACACACACAGTATAAACAGTACACAGATACATTATGCAATACACAGTTGTACGGTGTATTT